CAGCAGAAAGAATAGCACCTCAGATTATGAAAGAGAACGTCACACTGCAATTACACCCAATGTATAAAATGCTTGTTCGTTTGACAAACAGGATCCTCTCTCTCTCTCTCTCTCTCTCTCTCTCTCTCTCTCTCTCTCTCTCTCTCTCTCTCTCTCTCTCTCTCTCTCTCTCTCCCCATGTCTACAGTGAGAGGAGGCAGAAGGACAACGTGGGGAGGAAAGGGTCTAGTTTGGAGAGGAAGTTGGTTCGCATAAGGGGCGCCCTGTTTTTTCTTTTTTTTTTTGGAAGGGACACCCTGAGGGTAGAGCACCAGAAGGATCGGGAGCAACCGCACGTGGAGGCCGCAGSGGCATCGGAAGGAGCGAGCGCATGGAGCAGCAAAAAAGTTGGAGAGCTTAAGTCATGAAAATGACAAATCGTACGCACACTTTGTAGAACGAATCATAAGTGGAAGTCAGGAGTGAGGCCCAAGAGAAACTTCAAATGCCCGACCCCGGCACTCGGACCTGCTGGCCAAGCAGCTCTGGGCCACATCACTGGATAGTTTTGGTAATTCCAAATTCCTGCGGGCGGAGCGCCTCGTTTTTTTTTTTTTTTAAGCAGAGCACTGGCAGCCAAATGTCGTATGATCTAGGATACGACAGCTGCTTTTGAATTATAAAAGCCGGAAAACGGGTCCGGCATCCCTCACATCATCGAAAAGGTTCAACAAAACGAGCATAAAGAAAAAAAAAAAGAGTATGCAAAAACCCTAATTGTACGCAACGCCAGTAACAAAATTGCCCATCCTCTGTTAAACACCAGACCCGCGTATCCGCCCTACCTCCCGCGCGCCAGGGGTCAGGGTCACCGGCCTCCCAACCGCAGACTCAGACCCCGCAAAGCCCCACCCGCGATTTAGAGCGGATCGCACCACCACCGACATTCACCTACCAAAACCACCAACTCCCACCATGATGGTGATTTCGCTAACCTGCAGAAATACCCTGCCACCCGCGCGGCAGGGCCCAAAGACCCCGCAGAACCCACCCACCTTCTCCCGATTTAGGGTACACCACTCCTCTCATCTGCATTTCGCCTCGCAATGGGATCTTCACTGCCCTCCATGATGAAGCACCCACGGAGCGACACTCCACTCTCCAATCCCACTCAAGAAAACAGGATGCCAGAAGAAAATCCCACCCACATATAAGGAAACGAATACCAATCCAACAAATTCACCCCTGCGGGAAAGCCCTACCACCCACGTGGCAAGGGTCAAAAGACCCTGCAAACCCACCCACCTCCTCGCAATTTAGGGCTAACCACTCCCTCAGTCTGTGCCAACCGCCTAAGAGACCCCACCGCCCACCATGACGAGGTCTGTGCGGGGCAGCACTCCCAAACCGTCTCGAGTAACCAATAAAAGGGCACCATATTAGCCCCAACCAAAAAGCGATCAACAAATGTGAAAAACGAAAGAGACCACACACGAAACAAAAACTCCAACCTCTACAAAACCAGAAAACAGAAAACAACAATCTCTATGATCCCTACATTAGAGTAAGCAGAAATCCACGGAAGGGATCGAAATTCCTTCATGCTACCAACACGAGAACTTGAAAATTGAAAATGCTTGCCTAACTCCGCTAAGCAGACGCCTAAAGACCTGCAAGGCTATCGATACACACAAAACACACAGATCCCACCTAATATGGAAAACAACGGGCCAAAAAGTACAATTCCTACAACAGAAAAATAGTAAATCCCAGGAATCTAATTGCGGTAAACAACGAAAGCAAAATTAACGCCCAGGAAATTAAATGCGGTAAACCACGAGAGCAAAATTAGCAAATCCAACAACAAAATTAGGTCCGAAAAGGCATTCCTCTATCATGATGAGGAAAAAGATTGCCAGCAGTTGTCAACAATGGGCTGAGTGCAACCCTATCATGCCGAAGTCACCCACACCTTCACAACAGCAAGGGGGACTAAGACCAGAGTCGCAGCAGTCCATGTAAACGTCTTCCAACAGCTTCAGCTCCATCACGGACAGCATCCAACACCGGCGATCCACAAAGCTACATATCCAATACCAGGGGGCTGAAGCCCCTGATCAAGCTTCGTTTATGGTATGTTGGCGGCTAGCAAACCCTGCCTCACGGTCAGCCGCGCATACAACTCTCTCCCTTTGCGGCCTCACGAGGATTGCCGGTTCCCACCGACCAAGGCCATCCATAGCCAGGGGAGTGGTAATACCCCTGCTGAACAGCAACCCATCTCGTGCCCATACGTGCGCTTCACCCCCTTGCGTTCGTGCCATTCTGCCGGCGAGTTCTGGCATGCATGCACTGCGTGCGTTACCGCCGCTTGCCGCCACCGAACCAGGTGCCAATTCACGACCTGTTTTCGTTGGCCTCGCCCGGACCCATTACATTTGGACCAGTTCTTGCTCCCTTTCTTTTTTTTTTAAGTATTTAGCTGAATTTTAGCAGGTATTAGGTAGTCGATATAATCATCATATAGATAATGCTCCAAGGGTCGTCCCCCTTCATATAGATGAAGTAGAAATAAGACGGGCAGAAAAATATTCAGAAAACAATACAGTTAAATACACCAAACTACGAACACACTACACTCAGAAAGCAATACTCGGTTCACACTCACACTAGGACTTTCCCACATGCATCTGACCGCAATTACAGCCACACCTGAATGTATCTGACTGCGATTGACTCCAGGTCTCAGTCAGAAAAGTCCTGGTCTGAGAATCCACTCACACAACAACAATACTACCGCCTACTCCCGAAAACAGAACAGCCGGTCATCAAAAAAAAGAAGAAAAAAAAAAGAAGAAAAAAAACAGAAGAAAAAAAAARAAGGAAAAAAAAAGAAGGAATTTTTTAAAAAAAAAAGAAGAAAAAATAAAGAAGGAAAAATAAAGAAGAAAAGAAAAAGAAGAAAAGAAAAAGAAGAAAAAAAAAGAAGAAAAAAAAGGAAGGAAAAAAAAGAGCAAAAAAAAGAAGAAAAAAAAAAGAAAAAGATTTAAAGAAATCAAAAGAACACTTGGCCGCCATCGCTGTATCCAGACTGAATGCTGCCCAAATACAGGTATAACGACCACGTGTTCTTTCCGGTTGACCATGGTAATGGATAAAGAAGATTTAGGGAAGGCCAGCAGTTAGGAGTGAGACGAGAGAACTGGCCAACTAGCTCAGTTGGTACACCCCCCCTGGACTGAACTGTTGAAATACAGACCAGGTCCTGAGTTCGAACTCCAGATGAGTAAAATACTTACAACAGTAATTCTGAAGTACCTAGGGCCGGTGAGTTCCAGGATGATTTTTTATTTTTATTTTTTTATTTTTTATTTTTTTTTAAGGGCGCTCGAGGCATTCGCCCCTTACAAAAGAAAGAAGGAAAAAAAAAAAAAGAGAAGAAAAAAAGGAAGGAAAAGAAAAAGGAGTGAGACGAGAGCAGCAGTGGCACCTGGTGAAAATGGCTGCAAAAGAGAATGAGTGAGGTGGTCATCCCCAGAAGAGCAGACGCTCCCCATGCTCCGGGAGAAATTGGATGCAAACTTCCTACCACACTGGAACACACAATATACATCATCAAACAACATATCGCTTTGTTAATGGGCGTCGCTCCGCTACTCTCCAAATGTGCAAAATGAGACTGAATCTTCCGCTAGAACATGGAAAGATACATTGTCATTTTTTTCCTTTCTTTTGTCCATGTGGAGACTAGTGGACCAAAGCCCACTACCTAACTTCCAAACAGATGCAGTGACCATCAGAGTGGCAGTCTGAGATTTAGGCATTTTTTTCTGAGAAATGCTGACTGGTGCAGTGAGTAGTCGGGGACTCATGCAGCTGCTCTGCGTCGAGGGAGAGTGAGGCGCAGCAAGGGCAAGTGGGTGATGAAGGAGGAGCTAAGTGTGTGGAAGAGGACCTCCACGGCTATGGGCTCGTATGGAGCTATGGAGGATGAGCCCAAGATAAGAGTGGTTGCAGGAGAAATCATGAGGTCCAAACCACCACATGAACATGGTAATGTCGAGGGCTCAGGGTTGGTGCCCTCCTTGTTGTGTAACACTCTATCTCTCTGTCAAGGGAGAAGTCATGAGTTCACAGTTTCAAACCCCATCAACATCATAGTGTCGATAATGTCGAAGCTTTCACTAGAACATGGTGAGGCCTTTCTCCATGTATTTCTCCATGGTATGGACTATACCTTCAACATTTCCTGCCAGCTTACGCTACGGCGCTTGCCCTGCCATTTGCGCAGCACTAAGAGGCAGCAAAAGTTGCTTCGCTTGTAGTCTCTCCTCTTCGATAAGGTGCTTCTGCATCTGGCTCAAGATCAAGAACATGTTCCTACTTCTTGGCTAATGCACAGCATTGTTTCTACTTCTTGGCTAATGTACAGAAATGTTTCTACTGCTTGGCTACTGCAGCGACATGTTTCTACTTCTTCGCTAATGCAGGGACATGTTTCTACTTCTTGGCTAATGTACAGAAATGTTTCTACTTCTTTGGTAATGCAGGGACATGTTTCCACTTCTTGGCTAATGTACAGAAATGTTTCTACTTCTTTGGTAATGCAGGGACATGTTTCTACTTCTTGGCTAATGTGCCAAACATGTTACTAGTAACTTGCTACTACTTACTACCTTCTTCCCCCGAATACAACGTACGGTCATTATAGCCGTATTTGGGGCATCTTTCAGTCTAAATACAGCTGTAACGACCGTACGTTGTATTCGGGGAAGAAGGTAGTATACCACTACTTGGCTATCAGTGCATAAAAGAAAAACAAAAGAAAAGATGCAAGAAAGGAAACTCGGCCGTTGACTTAAACTGTTATGTAATGACCCGCCAAAACACAGACTGAGAGCGCTGCTGATTTCTGAGTTCTGCCGCTGGAATGGATACCTTGCTGAGATTCCCGCATTCTGCTGAGTTCTCTAAGTCTGTGTGTGCGTGTGTGCATGCTTGATGGTCAGCGTGCCTGTCTGAGTGCTGGTCGGCCTGAGTGTGTGTGTGATCCGCAAGGGTACTTGCTTGTTTGGAGGCCGGTAGGGCTGGTACTTACCTGTGGCCGTGACATTGAGGGTTGCAGCGGGGGGGAAACACTCAAGTGGCGGGGCACGAGGCTCGCAACACTTAGGCTAGCGGGAAAACACCCAAGTAGCAGGTCGGCCGGTACCACACCAAGTGGACATAGATGTGCCGGGTACTCGAGGCCGAGCAGAAGAAGACAAACGTTGCCATTTTTAGAGGCCCAGTAGTTGTAGGCTAGGTCTCGGCAGGTACCAGCCCAACGAGTCTGAGTCTAGGGTCTGTACGGGCAATATCAGAGTCTGCAATGATGTTTCCCTCCGAAAGGGAGGAGGTACTGGTTGCTTGGAGGTCGCGCCGCCTAAGGAAGTCACCGCCCAAGAGGCAAGTAGGCCTCTATATCTCCAGGAGGAGCAAAGTGCTCCCCCTCATTCTTCGGTGTGCAAGTTTGGCGACACACTGCTTGGAGTGTTGGCTGGAGGAGCGCTACGCACTTCAGCGCTGCTAGGAGGAAGGAGACCGGGAGCTCCCACCTCGGCTATGGTGGAGCTCTACCGATAGGAGGAGGAAGAAGAGGACTGAGGAGTACAGTGGCAAGGTACCTACCTGGCTATGGTGGGCACCATCTTCATCACCTTGTTAGGCGCTGCATCTGGAAGGCCCCAGTCGGGGTTGCGCCACACCAAGAAGGCTTCAAGGCAGGTTCAGGTAGGGTCAGGCATGGCGGCCTGAACAATACCTGCTTCGAGTTGTCCTTTGCACAGCAGGGCGAGGCCCTAGTAGTCAGCCATAGCCTTGGCTTTCATGAAGAGGAAGACGGAAGGTGGCCACGACTATGGTGGACCTCATGTTGTGCCTGCAGTAGAAGAGGGATTCGGACATTGATTCTGGTTCAACCATTCAACATTATTATTGCTATTTAGTGTTTGAATATAAGGGGGGGAGAAAAGGATGAGGAGAGTGGTTGGTGAAGAAGAAGGGAATTCTCATTGGTCTTTGCTGGTGTACATCTTCTTCTTCTTCTTTCTTTCATCTTCTTCTTCTTCTTCTTCTTTCCCTCTCTCTCCTCTCAAGTTCATCCATTTCTTTTTGCAATTGGACAGCATTGTACTTTCTGATGAATCTGTACTTCGAAATCGGCCAGGATCGTAACAGTTATTAAAATTTGAACAGATATTACCTGGGTTGAATTTGCCCAAGGTGAAACGCAACTGTTGCAATCCCAAATGCCACAAAGCACAGTGGTTCGCCCACGCCAACGTAGCTCAATCTGAATGGAGGGCACTGTTCACACACAGCTCAACAAACAATGACGTCAGCAACAATTGGTTGTACGGGTCAGGCTGAGTCAGCAAAATAGACATAAATGATAAATACTATTAAAAAAAAATCAAAAAAAAAAAAAGGAATCATTGATGCATTTTTCCCCTAAACATTGAGCATAATCACTAATCATGGTAACCAGCCAGACGTCCAGATAGGGATGAGGACTGACCAGATCTGGATGTCCGGGTTCGTTGTCCCATCCAAGGATGTTGATTCCTGAATGGGGCACCTGGGATGATGTTTTGGGTCCCAGGCACCCCCCCAAAAAAATGTTGGTGTGAGTTTTGCCGACTCGATAGACCCTTTCAGACCGGGCCAGACCTGACCATTATGAATGAAAAAGTAATCTCACGTGGTATCTCAGACGTCCTTCACAGAAAAGCTATGTAAGAAGACTAGCTTCAGACAGGGGACGTCTCATGTCAATCGGGCCGCATGAGGGTGGCAGGGGATAACAAAGTCCACCCTATTCGCCGTGAAGATCGTGATTCCCTGAACACGGCCGATGAAGTTGAAAAAACTCTCTCTCTCTCTCTCTCTCTCTCTCTCTCTCTCTCTCTCTCTCTCTCTCTCTCTCTCTCTCTCTCTCTCTCTCT